CTTTAGCCGTACTCCCCCCCCCCCGTGTGGCAGGGTCCAAAGTAGAATTTTCGCTCCGCAGTGACCCAACTTGAGTTAGGGCTGCCAACCTCCAGATGGGACCTGGAGATGACACTCTGCTGAGGTCCCTTCCCTCTCTAGGCTTCATCACCAAATCTCCAGGAATTTCCCAACCTCAAGTTGGCAACCTTCGCTTGTGCGCCAAAATACCTTGAGTTATCCCACTCTGAGAAGCTCTCCTGTTTCCACCCCATTGGAAGAAACCACAACCTTCTCTGTCATTTCAGTTCCCCTTGCCCCTTATTAAGTATGCCAGTGTGTCTGGCTTTCTACCTCTGGCACCAAAATGTCTTGGGCCTGCCCTGCACTAATGTTCTGCATCTTTGGTAGGGTTGCCAGCTCCAGGCGGGGAAACTCCTGGAGATTTGGGGATGAAGCCTAGAGAGGGAAGCGACCTCCACAGGGTATAATGCCATAGAGCGGGGGTGCCGAACTCATTTGTTATGAGGACCAGAACGGACATAAAGGAGACCTTGTTGGGCCGGACCACGTGTGTCATAAAATGTAATGGCAGGGAGCGGAGATATAAATTTTATAAAGGACAGAAACACAAAGGGTTTGGTTTTTTTAAAATTTTAAATAAAAACATGCTTAAAACATTAGCTCCGTAAGCTGCAAGCCTACTTTTGATTTATTGGCATTCACCACAGAAATCTCATGCTCAGCAGGGGTCATTTCGTAGAGAAAGAGGTGCAGGAGTTCATTAGCATAACCTATTAGCATAACTTATTTGCATATGCCACACCCCTTGACATCACTGGAAGTGTGTCAGAAGACAACACCCACCGCTCAGGCTCTGACTGAGGGCTGCTGGGAGCAGGGGGCGGGGCTTGCTGCATGTGCCCGCCCCCTGGGCTCTTTACTGCCGGAGCTCCGCTCCTGTGCGCTCCTGCAGGAAATGACCCCTGATGCTCAGAGTTCTGAGTCTAGGACCCCGGTTAAAACATGAAATGGCTGAGTGATTAAGAGAGTCTGGCGACGCAAGCCATGATGCAGCAGCAGCAGAACTGGAAGCAGGAGATGGCCAGTTCCACTACGGGCCTGATGGAAGCCCTCCGGGGGCCTGATCTGGCCCCTGGGCCGCATGTTTGACACCCCTGCCATAGAGTCTACCCTCCAAAGTATCCATCCTCTTCAGGGGAACTGATCTCTGTAGTCTGGAGAACAGATGTACCTCTTCAGGCCCCGCCAGGAAGTTGGCAACCCTTCTATTTGGTATGCGGGTGACGTATTCTCCCAAACCTCTGAGTTATGGGGCTTCTGTAGAAAACCTCAACTTGCCTTTGGTAGGAAATAGTAGTGGGTGCTTAAGAAGATGAGACCATTAATGGTGAAGAAAGCCCCACCCGTGGCCAGTATCCGTCCCCATCTGGCACCTAGGGAGGCGGAGAGAAGAGAGTTGCTGGTTATATAAGGAAAAGACAAGCTGCCACACCCCTTGTCTTCTGCTGAATGGGCCAGGTGCCTTTACTCATCATCACGTCAGACTTGCAGACTCTAGTTTGAGCCCCCCGGTGGTTATTAGTCATGGTTCCGGGATGACTTACTGTTCTTATCTCGCCTCTATCTCACCACAATCTTGTGAGAGAATTAGCTGGGAGCATCACAGGGTTCCTCTCCTCCCTCCAAGGCCCGCCAGACAAATCATGAACAAAGAACGAGCTCACACAACTCATTGTTAAAGTACAGAATCCCCTGCCTCCTGATGCAGTGTCGGCCACTAACTTAGCTTTAAAGCAGTATTGAACGGATTCATGGAGGACAAGGGTTATGAAGGTTCATTGGTTATGATGGTTAACTGCAGCTTCCAGGTTTAGGATCCACCTCCAAAGCAGCCATTTTCTCCTGGGGGATTGATCTCTGTCATCTGGAGAACAATTGTATCAGGTTGTGAGGGTCAACACCAAGAAGCTTGCTGGCCTCTGACATTAAGCTTTTGAGGACCATCTGGTTGTCCACCATTGGGAAACAGAATGCAGGACTAGACTGACCTTTGGTCTGACCTAGCAGGGCTCTTGAGTAGGCTTCTGTATAGAAATATTGATTCCAGAAGCCCCCTGCCTTCTTATGTGATATCTTCTGATAACACTGTGGCTTACTTCCTCTCGCAAGCCAAATGGTGAGGCCCAGATGGCCTCAATAGCGTGCCATAAACCCACATTCTTTCACACGTTCATGCCAAATGGCAGACCTCATGCAAACAGTGACGGTACGCAATGAGGGTGGAGTTGGGGGGTCACCTGACTGCAGAGGGTGTTCCCAAACTCCCAGCCTATCTCCCCACTTGTCCCCATGACAACCAAAACATTGGCCACACACCCTGCTACTCCTGATTGGCTGATGGCCACAGCTAGTCATGATTACATTGGGGTTTCATTGTCTGATCCCTAGGGAGAGAGCTCTCTGTTCCTGCTCTCTCTCTACTTGTTGAATTGCACCTGGAAATGCTGTCCCAGGTGGAACAAAGAACTGCTTTGTGAGCTGAGCACATGCTTGCAAAGATGGGATTCCTGCTATTACAAATCCCTTGGTGTCTAACTGGATTATTTGGACTGATGCTATCCTGAATTGGTAAATATGAATTACTGTTTAGTTAAGGCAAACTGCCCTAGCCTTTCTTGTTTTGAAATCCTTCTGGTATATGCTACGTTCTGTACTGAATAAATTTATTCTGGTTTCTAACTGGTTTTGATGTTGTAACTGAATTCTAAGCCTAAATCTTGCAGCCTGAACGCTGACCACACACACTACCATTGAGCATTAAGAGTGCATCTCTGAGGAGGTGCTAGTGTGTTCTGTCCCAGAGGCTAACCTAAAGGTTTGGAATCCCTCCCTTGGGGAAAAGCCGGGACTAGTTAAAAAGGGATTCTGGTGGCATATTGTTCTGAATCCAGAGAGGGTAGCCTACCTTTCTCGGTTGTTGTTTAATGTATTGGGAAAGTATAGGCTTCCCCTCATTCCTGGACAGGCTTGTGGGGCAGAAACCTATACAGCTTCTGAGGAAGATCTGGTTGTCCACTGTGGGCAACAGAATATAGGATGAGGCAGACCTTTGGGCTGACCAGCAGGGCTCTTCTTATGTGCTTATGTTCATCACTATGTGGGGGCAAGACTTGAAGCATACAGGAGCAAGTTGGGCAGGCAGGACGGAAGTAAGGAAAGAAAATACTCTCAAGAACAGGTCAAGAGTAACTCAGAACTTACTTGTTAGATTGATAATTACCGGGTTACTCTTCTTAGAGCGGACATTTCGATTAGAAAGTAACTGGATATATGCACAGCTGAAACTCCCCGTGTCCTTTGGCTCAAGGATGCTCAGGTTGTATACGTCAGTATTGTCCGATGGCTTCAGGGCCTGGAGGGTCTGCCTGTCTCCAAAGTACTGGAATTCCATGATCTGTTTTGCTTCAGGGGGAGCTGAACACACCAGGCTCACGTAGTCTCCCCATCTGTACTGCGGGAGTGTGTGATTCAAAGTAAGGGATGGCTTTTCAGGTGCCTCTGCAAGAGAGAAAGGGCTGGATTTTTTCCTTATAATTTTATTATAATGCAGCCAAAAGCAACCCCACTACTCTGCCAAAGCATGGATTTTACACATCCCAGCTCCTGTGCAGGAGAGTGCAGACAAAACAATGAAGCAGACAATTTCATGTGTCACTCTGCCTGATAGTGTGACAGGGTGGTTTAACCCTGGGAGAGGACAGAATTGTGAGGCCTGGCGATGGACAGACCTGGTAACTACAGGCTTTAAAGTGAATTCACCACAAAACCTGTATATAAATCGAAATATACTGGGTTCAGACGCGTAGAAGTGATCAGCTCATAGCTTATTAGTGATTCACCAAGAGAAAGAAGACTGGCTATCCCTGGCCGAAGCCAGGTATTTATGCCTGGAAAGGGTTACACCCAAAACACACCCCACTCCCAACGATAGGCTTTTCACACACTATTGTTTCCCAATTAGTTTACTCTAGGATGCCTGTCTCCCTACTGGTCGATTCTAGGATCCTAGCAATCTATTGTTATGCATCCCAAGCTAAGTCCTTTTGCAAGGACGGTTCAGGCTCAATACATAACATAAATAAATCTTTGTTGTTTTATTCAACCTGCTTCAGAGATCTCTGTACTCTTCAGCAGGGGTCATTTCCTGCAGGAGCGCACAGGAGCAGAGCTCTGGCAGTAAAGAGCCCAGGGGGCGGGCACATGCAACAAGCCCCACCCCCCGCTCTCAGCAGTCCTCAGTCTGAGCAAGAAGCAGCCAGATAAGCTGCAGAGCCCCCCCGCCCCCCACCCAAAACAGTCGAGTGGCACCTTTAAGACCAAGTTTTATTCAGGTACAAGCTCTCCCTCCTCTGTGAGGACAGATCTGCATGTTCCCCCCCTCCCCAATGGCTAGCAATCCAGAACAGTCCAGTGGAGCCTGAGCAGTGGGTGTTGCCTTCTGACACACTTCCGGTGATGTCAGGGGATGTGACATATGCAAATAAGCTACTTTCCTACGAAATGACTGCTCTTCAGGCTCAATATAAAACTCACCTCACAGCAGTGATCCAAAGCTTTCCCACTTGCTACCCTAAGAACATCTGGTAACTGACAGGTAGGCGTATACCTTTAGGGAGGGTGGTAGCGCTAAGTGGTAGAGCATCTGCTCAGCATGCACAAGGTTACAGGTTCAATAATCCCCAGCACCTTCAGTTAAGGATCAGGTAGCAGGAAATGTGAAAGACCTCTGACTGAGACCCTGGAGAGCCACTGCTGGTTTGAGCAGACAGTACTGAACTTGATGGACCGGTGGTCTCATTCACTATAAGGCAGCTTCATGTGATCATCAGAGAGGCCGCGTGGGTCCCCTTGGTTTCAAGAAAGGGCCTGGCACACCATTTTCTGAGCAGCTGCTCCACACGAGATAAAATGTCCCACAGGACAGCCATTTGCATGCAGGGACTTGCCGGGTTCCTGCTTCTAATTCATCACAGCCCCTGTCCAGGGTGGAGAAGTAGGGGTAGAAGTAAATAAGTCACCAAACCATAAGTCATCAAACACTCACCTGTCTAATTTGCAATGTGCGTGTGTGTAGGGTAGCCACTCTATTACAATTTTGGTTTTTTGCTTTATTAATTCAATTTATATTCTGCCCTCCCTGCAAGCAACCAAGATGGAGGAGGAGGAGAAAGAGACTACCTGAAGGAGTCTCAGAGTGGTTTACAAACTCCTTTCCCTTCCTCTCCCCACAACAGACACCCTGTGAGGTAGGTAGGGCTGAGAGAGCTCTTGAGAACTGCTCGTGAGAGAACAGCTCTGAGAGAAGTTGTGACTGACCCAAGGTCACACCAGCAGCTGCATGAGGAGGAGTGGGGAATCAAACCCAGTTCTCCCAGATTAGAGTCCATGCTCCCAGGGGTCGTTTCGTAGAAAAAGAGCTAGAGGAACTCATTAGCATAACTCATTGGCATAACTCATTAGCATATGCCACACCCCCTGACATCACCGGAAGTGTGTCATAAGGCCACACCCACCACTCAGTCTTCGTCTTAAAGGTTAGTCTTAAAGGTGCTATTTGTTAGTCTTAAAGGTGGTATTTGAACTCTTGGACTATTTTGCAGCAACAGACTAACACAGCTAATTCCTCTGAATCTAAACCCACCACTCAGGCTCCTTGTTGAGAGAAAAGCAACAACAAGCACATCAGTGAAGACTTACCCTCCCTCTTCTCCTGCCTCCTCCTGGCTGAATGAGGGCCGGAAGCGGGGTGGCCGGAAGCAGGGGGTGGGGTTTTGTCATGTGCCCCACCCCCACAGCTTACCCGGGGGAATGGCGATCCCCCGCGATTCCCCCCGAATCGACTTCTGCATGCTTCTAACCACTACGCCAAACTGGCTCCCCTGGAGAAAATGGCTGCTTTGGAGGGTGGATTCTACGGTCCCTCCCCTGCCCAAACCCCACCTTTCCCAGGCTCCACAGGTATTTCCCAACCCAGAGCCAGCTACCCCGTGCCTGTGGCACAACACTCTTCAGAATTCTTTCAGAGGGTAGCCGACTATGTTGGTGGACAGTCGAAGAGCTAACTCGGAGTCCAGTAGCACCTCAGAGACCAACACAATTTTCCAGGTATGAGCTTCTGTTACGTATGACACTCAACGCAGCTTTCCCAACAAACAGCAATTCAGCTTTATTTAGTCAGTGAAGAATGAATACACACACAGTAGAGAAACAGGCTCACTTTTAAACTGTCCGGGCTAGGATAACCACGCCCACTGTCCAGCTAAGGACCAATCAACATACAGCGACAAAGTCCAATCATTTTAACTCCCTCCATAAGCTCACTTGCATCCCGATGGGCCCACCGCGCAGAGCAGCCAATAGGATCGTGAGGATTACAGTTCCTTGTGAGGATGTCAAGCTCACACAATTATGTCCATACGTAACAGCTTCCAAGAGTCAAAGCTCCCTTTCTCAGAGATGAAGGTCGAATCTGCATTTGCATTTTTAAAATCAGTTCGTGCTGCTGTGATGCTGTCTTTCTCTATGCTTGTTGGAATGCTGTTTGGAGAAGATTCTTTTAAAGCAGTGGGGAGGTGCAATGACAGTGGCACCGCCACAAAATGGCAACAGACATATCCAGACGTGCAAAAGTATGCTAGCACTGTTGAGGTGTGAAAACGACACCAAATGTAGACAGCTTTTTTATAGACGTGTGAGACGGCTGGGACACCAGTGGGAAAGTCAAAGGCAGATTCGACAAAGTCTGACAAAGGGAACGTTGACTCTCCAAAGCTCATACCCTAATAATCTCGTCAGACTCTGAGTCGCGACTGGACTCCTCACATCTAGCATTTCTGATTGTTGTTTCTCTTCCTCCACGTTCCTGCAGAAAAATGCCTCTTCCTTAAGATTTACAGCATTTGCTATCTCAAAGTAGCTGATTTATAGCCCTGATTTATAGCCACAAAAGATGGCCTTTGCTGAGCTCCCTACGAATGCACAGCAGTCCACATATAGCTGATTTTTAGTACCAACTGAGCTGTGAGAGAACTTCAGAGTTTCAAAGGCAGGCAGGAACAGGTCGTAAGGGCTTTGGGTAGAATGAACTGGTCTTTCCTGCCACCCTGTGGAGAAACGGTGCTCTCACAGGGCTGCACCCTTATCTCTTTTGCCGTTTCATCACCAGCAACTTGCTCAAAGTGAAAACAGAAGTTGCATCAAGTAATTTTAGACCAGGATGACCAGGGAATGTTTTCCCCAGCCAAAATGTGCTGTGAATGGGACTTTTATTTTCCGTGCAGCAGAAATGTGCTAAAGTGAAGCTTGTGTGAGCAAAATGATACAAATAAAATGTGAAATGTCTGCCCTCCGTAGGCCAAAAAGGTCAAGGGTGGGGGTAGCATCACCTCAGGTGATGCGGCAACTGGGGCCTAGGGTTTGTGGTGGGGCCCAGCTTTCACCCAGGGTTGCTAGGCAACCCTGGCAACTGGTGGGGGATTAGGGATGCCAGTCTCCAGGTAGGACCTGGAGATCCCCCGAAGTTACAGCTCATTTCCAGATTAGACATCGGTTCCCCTGGAGAAAACGGGTGCTTTGGAGGGTGGGCTGTGTGGCATTGTAGCCCACTGAGGTCCCTGTCCGCCCCAGGCTCCATCCCCAAATCTCCAGGAGTATTCCAACCTGTATCTGACAACCCAGCCAGTGTGGTGTAGCGGTTAAAAGCAGCGAATTGTAACCTGGGAGAACTGGGTTTGATTCCCCACTCCTCCACATGCAGCCAGCTGGGTGACCTTGAGCCAGTCACAGTTCTCTCAGAGCTATTCTCTCAAGAGCAGTCCTCAAAAGAGCTCTCTCAGCCCCACCGACCTCACAGGGTGTCTGTTATGGGGAGAGGAAGGGAAAGGAGTTTGTAAGCTGCTCTGAGACCTGGGTAGTGAAGAGTGGGGTATAAAAACCAATTCTTCTTCTTCTTCCTCAGACGGTGGCCAGAGAGGACTTGGCAACCCGATGGGGGGACTTACTGGCCATGAGGAGAGGCCCAGGCTAGTGTTGCTGGTGAGGTGGGGATTGCACTTCTGGGCTCACTGGAAGCGACGTCACTGCATCGCCGTTGACACAGAATGCTCTGGTATTTGGGCAAAACCTCTATGACAGAAGCCGTTTTTTACCATTGACTTTCCCCCCTCAAATAACAGAGCTTCCCATGTTGCTGGCAACACGATGCGATCGCTTCTCGTGCCCGTTGGAGGTGACGTCACCACATGGCCAGCAATGCCAGTCTCGACCAGTGTTTCCTCTAAGCTGAGTTGGTGTGAGCTAGCTCACAATTTTTTTAGCCTCCGGCTCACACCTTTTTGTCTCAGCTCAGGAAGGATGGCTGCAGAGCAAACTAATTGATGCAACAGCCAAATGGCTCACTCACAACTTTAATGCCAGTAGCTCACAAAGTAGAATTTTTGCTCACAAGACTCCACAGCTTAGAGGGAGCACTGGTCTCAACCTCTCCTCACTGCTCAGTCCCCCTGCTGGCCAGCTGATCGGTGGTAAGGGACGGGGCGGGGCCTGTGAGCGAGGATCCCTAACCCCAGGTGGGTGCCCCGCCGCCCTCCGCCCCCCCCCCCCGTGCCACCTCTCCACATGCCTTCCGTTTCCCGTTTGCTTGCAAGCACTCCACCACCCATGCTCCCAGCATCGGTGGGGAAGTGCATGCAGGCGATGTGCAGCGGTAGCACTCCGGGTGACCACACCGGCTGCACGCACGAGCCAGTGCTGTTGGGGAAAGGCCATGAATGTGGTGCAGGCAGCTGTGAGTGCAGGTGGGGGAGAGCACGTGAGAAGGGGAAGGGTTCGCAAGTGGGAACACACACTGGTAGGCAGGTGGAAAGGGAGACTTTAGGGGAGCCTGGTGCTGCCCAGGGCCTCCCAAAACCAGGAACTGGTCCTGGAAGCGGCTGCCTACCCTGCTCTGCTCTGCCCTGAGCTGGACAGCTCTGGCTAGCTAGATCTTGTTAGATCTTGGAAGCTATGTAGAATCAGTGCTGATTAGTATATGGATGAGAGACCACCAAGGGTCACAACACAAAGGCAGGCAATGGAAGACTACCGCTAAAACAACTCTTGCTTTGAAAACCCTACGGGGCTGCCGCAACTCGTCTGTGATTTGACGGCACGTTCCACCGCCTCCCCTGCCCTATCCTATTCCTGTGGCTTGGCTCCTACAAAGCGTACACGGGGATGCACTGCATAAACGGAACCTGCAGGGGATTGGACTAGATGGCCCCGGAGGACCCCTTCGTACTCTATGATTCTATGACTCTGCTGCTGTTGACGAACCCGGACGTTGTCCTTCTGTGGGTAGTTGGACTGCTTGGAAAACCATGGGAGGCTGAGGAGGAGAGCTGTAGTGAGATAGCAGGGTTGTGAAATTCCTAGGGATTTGGGGGTGCACCCGGAAAAGGGTGCGGTTTGGGGAAGGAGGAGACCTCAGAGGGGTACAACGCCATTCGGTCCATCCTCCAAGCAGCCATTTTCTCCAGGGGAACTGGAGATCAGTTGTAATTCTGAGGTCTCCAGGACCCCCCGGAGATCCCCAGGTCCCACCTGGAGGATGGTAACCTTATAAGAGAGAGGAAATAGCAAAGATCACTCTGCTCCTCTTCTGCTATTGACATTTCTTAGCATGAGTGGAAAGAGAAGTCAGGACTGCTGAATTCACATAGAGCCATTCTACGTAGAGCCAGTTTGGTGTAGTGGTTGAGTGCGCGGACTCTAATCTGGGAGAACCGGGTTTGATTCCCCACTCCTCCACTTGCACCTGGCTGGATGACCTTGGGCAAGTCGTAGTTCTGGCACAGCTGTTCTTGAAAAAGAGCAGTTTCTGTCAAGAGCTCTCTCAGCCCCACACACCTCACAGGGTGTCTGTTGTGGGGAGGGGAAGGGAAAGGAGTTTGTAAGCTGCTCTGAGACACCTTTGGGTAATGAAGGGTGGGGTATAAACAGGGGTCATTTCGTAGAAAAAGAGGTGCAGGAGCTCATTAGCATAACTCATTAGCATAACTTATTTGCATATGCAACACCCCCTGACATCACTGGAAGTGTGTGAGAAGGCAACACCCACTGCTCAGGCTCCACAGGACTCTTTTGGATTGCTAGCTATTGGGGGGGGGACACGCAGATCTGCCCTCACAGAGGAGGGAGAGCTTGTACCTGAAGGTGGGGTGGGGGGGCTCTGTAACTTACCTGGCTGCTTCTTGCTCCTTGTGGCCTGACTGAGGGCTGCTGGGAGCAGGGGGTGGGGCTTGTTGCATGTGCCCGCCCCCTGGGCTCCTTACTGCCGGAGCTCCGCTCCTGTGCGCTCCCGCAGGAAATGACCCTTGGGTATAAATCCAATCTCTTCTTCTTCCTCCTCCTTTGAAAATGGACTCAATAGTAACTGGGAGTGTTTTGCTCCCTACCTAAGGTCCGTGCCCAAATAGGGTTGCCATCCCCCCCCCGGTTTGCCAGGGCCCCCCCATTTTTTTGGGGGGTCCACCCGCCGCTGGCCAGATGGCCGTCGGCGGAAGCCCCGCCCCTAATACCCACAGCCACCCCTCTCCCTTCTCTTTTAAGAGAGAGGGGTGGCTGCCTTTAAGTGCACGGATGTTTCCTCCCAAGCCCCATCTCTGCTTGAGATCAGGCTTGCAGGGAAATGCCTGCTCCGTGCACTTAAAAGGGAAACGCCGGCTCCTTTAAGTGCAGAAAACTGGACTTTCTGGAGATCGAGCGCGCGGGCGGGGCGGCGGACGTCCCCAATGTGACGTCATCACGTCGGGGATGCCCCACCCCCTCCAGGAATGCCCCCAAAGTCCCCCACTGGGGGCGGAAGATGGACTTGGCAACCCTATAGCCCGAAGGTCTATGTACACTTTTGATCTCACTCTGCCGATTCATCACCGATCGGGAACAATGCACCCCAGTTCAGACTGGACCATTTTCCCTTCTGACCTGACCTTGTTTTCCTTGGCACCCTGCCCAGCAATGTCTCGGACGGCCGCACTCCTCCTGCCTGCCTGTGCACCCGTGTATATCTCCATCTGCCAGCCACAGGCCAGGCTGCTCTGATGAAGGAAGTGGTCTCGGCCTCACGAAAGCTTATGTCATCCCTGTGGTTTCCAGCCATCACAAGACACTGTTGGGCTGTAATGGCCCAGGATCTGGGAGGCCAAGGTTCACATCTCCACTCTCCCACGGAAGCTCGCTGGGTGACCTCAGGTCAGTCGCATGCTCTCAACCTTAACCTTCCTCACAGGGGTGTTGTGAGGATAAAATGCAGGCGAAGAGAACGATGGCAGGCACTTAAGAGTCCCCACTGGGGAGGAAGGGCTCTTTTTGTAGCAGGAACTCCTTTGCATATTAGGCCCCCCCCCTAAATAAGCCAATCCTCCAAGAGCTTACAGAGCTCTTCTTACAGGAGCTACTGTAAGCTCTTGGAGGATTGGCTGCATTATGGGTGTGTCACTTAATATGCAAATGAGTGCCTGCTACAAAAAGAGCCCTGATAGGAAATATATAAACAAAGGTGTCAGCGATGCCCGTGGACAAAAAAACCAAAACAAAACACCACAGGAGGTGGCTGGCGGCTACAAGCATGGACGACTTCAAGAGGGAATTGGATAAACACATGGAGCAGAGGTCCATCAGTGGCTATCAGCCACAAGGTATAGATAGGAACACTCAGTCTGGGGCAAGTGACACTCTGTATTCTTGGTGCTGGGGGGGGGGGGACAGGGGGAGGACTTCTAGTGTCCTGAACCTCCTGCTGGCCCCGGACTGTGTGACAGAGTGTTGGACTAGATGGGCCACTGGCCTGATCCAGCATTGGCGTCTCTTATGTTCTTAAAACTGAAGTTGGAAGAACCACAGTGAAAGACCAAAAAAGCATCCTTCGTTTTCCTCCAATGCCTGGCTTCAAGGTGTGTGTTTCTCCTTTCTCTAAGAGTTAAAAAGAAGCATGAAAAATGTGCTCACGTGATAAGTGTGCTCCACAGCTTCGGGGCTGCAATGGAAGAGGCCTCACTACTCTTCATTGTGTGTGTGTGTGTGGGGGTGGGTGGTCAGATGGGGGTGAGAGAGAATATTGCCTCCTCCCAGTCGACCACTACATGCCACCCCCTCCAGGGCTTCCAAGACCCACCATTTGCCCCCAACAAAGATGCTCTCTGCCGACCCTCAATTCATGCATTTCCAAGAGCTGCAGAGTAATCACGTCTTCTGGACTTATGTCCCCTTCTTCTTGGAAACCCACCAGCCTCTGCAGCAACAGCTCTCTCTCTCTCTTTTTTTTGATTAATGGATTTTCGAGGGTTCCTGGTATTTATCTGGTTCCTAAGATACATAAACCTGAACGACCCCCTCCAGGCAGACCAATTGCTGCTCTTTTCCTTTTGTTAAAACTCACTGCATTATGAACTGGTTTTTTTAAAAAAAAAAATATTTAGATGGGCATACTTTACTGTATTCTGCACTGTATATAGGGACTGTTTTCACTCATCCCACTGTATTTACTAATATTTGGTTTGCACACAATCCAGTATGTAGTCATTTCCTTTGTGTGGTCTTTGGTACTCTGGTACCCAGTACATCCATAGTACAACCAGGAACACCAACAGTTTTTGAGTCCTTAGAAGACTAGCACTGGGGTTTGGGATAACCCCGGGTGGTTTGGATTAACCCTTGGCATATTGACATCAAACGTCCTGAACTGTCAAAGTCTTATCCATCACTGTAGGAAAGAGAAACCTACCTTGCACTTGCAGGGTGATTGTGTTGCTTTGCTGAGATGGGACCCCTCCGCCATTCCCCCTCCAGTATTCGCAGCTGTAAGCTTCAACTTTCTCCCTTTGAATGGTGACATACAGCAGGCCGCTCCCAAAATGATCAATGCCTACTTCAGATACCACAGACCCAGTCTTGTTGAAGAATCTGTATCCTTTCACTGTCTTATTCATTTTAGCAACACAAGTTAACTCTACATTTTCACCTTCATAATATAGATCATATTTGGGATTCACAGTAAGTTCTGGGGGAGGCAGTTCTTCTAGAAGAGAAAAAGAGAGGTTTGGGTAGATCTAAAAGGAAAATGTGGTCCCCGATCCAGGAAGCTATGTTAAACCTTTCTCCACAGTGTACCACTTTCCTTAAATATGTGCTGTGAGTTTTATTAACAGGTGAGAATGTTCCAAACTATGATGTTCACGTGCATTTTGACGTTAATTTTATTTACTTATTTTACCTCATTCATACTCCTCATTTCTGCCCTCACAGGGGCCACTAAGGCAGTGGACAAATTGTATCATGCATGATAAAATCACATTTTACAACCATTCACCACCCCGAAAATCCATCATCACAACAATTAAAATCAGAGCTAAAGTACATACATAATAAAATGACAATATGGGTAGGAAGGAGGGGGTCACCGAGGGAATGCCAAATGAAACAAAACAAGTCTTCACCTGCTGGTGGAAGACAGCAACAGAAGGGGACAGATGAAGTTCCCCAGGGAGAGAGTTCCAGAGTTTGGGTGCTGCTACTGAAAAGGCCCTCTCTTGGGTTACTCCCCACCTAATCTCAGAAGGTGAGAGCATCTGAAGCAGGGCCTCTGAAGAGGACCATAGTGGTCAGATCGGTTTAGAAGGGACGAGGTGGTCCTTCAGGTGCAATATCAAAACTGGCTACCTTGACTAACCCGTCCCCTCTCTCACGAATGCTTCACAGTCTCATGATTGGGGGATTATAATAAGCCACCTTTCTCAAAACAGTTTCTCACTTGATAAAAACTAGAACGAATGTTTTCCTTATTTATTTTTATTCATCGGTGTTCCCAGCTATGCCTGTAGTTGAAGTTAGGGAGGTGGTTTCTACACATTTCTGAACGCGGGTGGGAAAGGGATGTTAGTTTCGAAGGCTCCCCCGTGCAGGGGTCGTTTTGTAGAAAAAGAGCTAGGGGAACTCATTAGCATAACTCATTAGCATATGCCACACCACCTGACATCAGGGGCCTGGCAGTGGACCTGCAAGGCCTGCGGGAGTGCGAGGAAGCCCCGCCAAGCCCTTCCCTGGCCCCAGGCAGGCAGGGGTGGGGAGAGGCAGGGAGGAAGCAACTTACCCTCCCTCTTCTCCTGCCTCCTCCTGGCTGAATGAGGGCCAGAAGCGGGGCAGCCGGAAGCAGGGGGCGGGGCTTCATCATGTGCCCCACCCCCACACCTCACCTGGGGGAACGACGATCCCCCGCGATCCCCCCGAATCGACCTCTGCCCCCATGTTAACAGAACTCCCTGCATGTTAAAATGTGTGTGTGTGTATATATTTGGTGTAGTGGTTAGTCCCCTCTCTCACAAATGCTTCACAGTCTCATGATTTGAGGATTATAATAAGCCACCTCTCTCAAAAAAGTTTCTCACTTGATGAAGACTAGAACGAACGTTTCCCTTATTTATTTTTATTCATTGGTGTTCCCAGTTATGCCTGTAGTTGAAGTTAGGGAGGTGGTTTCTACACATTTCTGAATGCGGGTGGGAGAGGGATGTTAGTTTCGAAGGCTCCCCTGTGTTAACAAAACTCCTTGCATGTTAAAAAATATATATACCTAGGGCACCAGGGAGAAAGATATAGTTCTGTCTTCTCTGTGCTGGAGTAGCTTTCTGCATGCAAGGAGTTTGGGGAGAGAAAGATTTTAATTGGATACAAACATGCCCCTGTAAGTTATAAATATATGCACAGATTTCTATACTCAAACGTTTGACACTTAAAATGGCAAATGCTGTACTTTGTCAAATATCAGGCATTGCTGCAGATTGTAAACGTAGTCAGAATGCCTTCCTCTTGGACTTGCCCTTCGGCTTTTCTGCATTCTCATTTTACTGGCCATAAAGGTCCAGTTTCTTCATGTCCCCCCCCCCCCCCCCCCCCCCCCCACTTGTCGATTTGATAACACAGGACTTTATTCCCGGTTTTATCTCCCTGTATCTGAAGAAGTGTGCGAGCACATGAAAGCTTGCACCCAGAATAAAACTTTGTGGGTCTTAAAGCTTAGAGCTGGACTCAGACTTGGAAATAAAGCTGTTTGATATCAAATCGACCACTGGGGGGAGCAAAACGCATGTGCAACAGGGGAAAGATCCCCGAAGACATGGGAACGTAACAGTGAGTAAAATGAGAATGCGGGGAAGCCCGTTCTTGCATACATGAGAGAACTGGGGTTGCTGTCACAGTTTCCACACAGTTTGAGAAGCCCTGCTGCAAACGCAACCCGAACTTTCCCAGCAGCTCTCCCCAGACCCACCATCTCCCTTGAATATTACCTGCAGCTGAGGCTGGTGGGAACCCGGCATGGAGGAAAACTGGAAAAGAGAATGAACCAGAAAGGGGGAGAGATGAGTAACTTCCTAGGCTTCATTAGTAGATTCATCAGCAGATGCCTTCAGTTTTGTAATAAAAACAGGATGGGTATGTTTGTTTTATGCCATCATAGAAAACACAGAAACATAGAGCTGGAAGGGCTCCCAAGGGTCATCTAGTCCAACCCCCTGCACAGTGCAGGAAATTCACCACTAGTTCCCCACCCACTCCCCCAGCGACCCCTGCTCCATGCCCAGAGGAAGGCAGAAACCCCTGAGAATCCCTGGGCCAATTGGGCCTGCAGGAAAATCCCTTCCTGGCCTCAAAGTGGCAATCAGCATTACCCTGGACATATAACATGGCTCATCCCTTCCTGTCCTCCCTCTCCGAGTCCGCTGAAATTGAGTTGCAGCTGATTTATGGCGATCCCATGAAAATCCACCTCCTGTGGTTTTCAAGGAAAGGGATAAGTAGAGGTGCCTTGCCATTCCCTTCCTCTCCCTGGCAGCCGCAGTCTTCCTTGGTGGTCTCCCAACCCTGTTTAGCTTCCAAGTTCTGACCAGATTGGGCTAGTCTGGGTTATTAGGGCTGGTTTTTTTTTTAATGGTACATACCTAGTAAAAAAAACAAAACCCAAAACCCTGTCAATTCATAGCACAATCAGGAATGGACAGGCCATTTAAATTACCCAAAGATGTGTTTATGCTATAGGCATTCTCACTCATCTGCATCTGTTACGTCTTCAATCAGTTTTCAAAATACTATAAGATACCAAAGTCTTCCCCAAAGATTTACAGTATTCTCTTAATGGGCAACCAGTCACAATTTTCAGAAGCTTTACTCTGGCCCCAGTCACACTGGGGGGGGGGGGGGGGGGGGGTTTTTAGAGCCGCAGCAAAAGAGAAGCGCGGCAGCAGGATCAGACAGATCCCCCGAGCCGCCGCACTTATGCTCCCTAGCGCGATCAGATGCGAGGGGGAAGCCACGGACAGGAGAGCAAGGCAAGGCTGCTTTGCATGTGTGTGCCTGCGCAGTTTGGCAGGGGACCTTGCATGCTGCGGGAGACGGGAACGTTGACGATCGCACGGCCGCCCATGCCGCAGATTTTCCGGTAGGTAATAGTGTTTAGCAGGTTTATTTTAACTCCGCATCTTCGGCCGGAAGAGACAGATCGGGGACGGGTGCGCGCCGCTTCCCAGATGTTGTGGTGTGATCACGCCCGCTTGATGCGCCCCCAATACGTCCTTCTTGCGGATCTAATCCTCCCATGTGACTGGGGCCTCTGTAACTTTACTAAGCTGGGGTTGCAACACCCATGAGGAAGACAGCCGAAAACAAAGCTCATAACCGGGATCTTCCTTAGAACTTTATTGTTTATTTGCTTAGAACTTTATTGTTTATTTGCTTCAGCTTAGCCCTTTATGGCTCATTTGCCTTTACTTGTTCTAATTGTATTTCATGCTAAACTCATTTAAATTACCCAGCAATTTCTCGGTGGGATGCTATCCTAGAAAGCTGCTGGGAGGCTGGTGGTAAACAGAGCCAAGCCAGGGCCCCCTGAAGCTGAATGGCCCCTTTATCAGAGCCAGTCATAGCTGCAGGGGTTTGCTCATCTCTGGCTCAGTACTGGAGATCTGTGTCAGTTTGTGGGAAGCGGCAGGGCTTGAGTCGACACCCTTTGTCATCAGTGCTGGCTGGGTCTAAGCGGAGCAGCCCCTGCACCGTCTGCCAGCTCGCCGGTCCATGCCACTGAGTCCACTCAGCATGGCTTGTGCCTGGACCGTGCGGACTTCTCAGGTTGCCCCTCTGAGCAAAGTCCCCACCACCAAACTGCAAAATGCAGTCACGGCACCGAGGTCCGTGCAGTGGTCGGATGCAGCAATGGGACCTTTGTTCAGAACCCCATGGTGACTCTGATTTTTGTTTGGGTCTCCCATCTTCAAAAGCTAAGCTCTCCCACTTCCCCAGTTAGCAACATAAAACTATATTTTTTTAATGAATGGGTGAAGGTTGAGAACCCAAGGGAATGAAGAGGGGAAAGCTGGAGCAAAAAAATTAAAATAAATAGGAGGAACACCTGGGGGGGGGGGTTGCAGAAGAAATTGTTACATACCAAGGATGGGGACCAGAAAAATGGGATCCATGCTGAGAAAAGATCTCTCAGCTCTTCGGCACGCCGTTCAGATCCCGTCTTCCTCGAGTCCCAGAGCCAGTCTTCCTGCCCAAGAGATCTGGTCCAAGTCTCTTCTAGAAGAAAAGAGAAAGCTGCCAGGGTAAGATTTGCATGTTCATACTCCTGAGAAGTGGTGACACTAATAGGAAGGTGGCCAGGGGTCCGATGACACGAGCCACTTGAAATAGAAAATGGAAATGGGTTTGGTAGATCGGAGGAGTCAGCAGTTGTTTTTGACTCAGTGACCACTAAGACTCAGCAATTCCGGTTTTGTGCGGTGAATGCACTCCACACGGCTATCATGCAGCTGAGGCTTTCTTTGTGTGTATGTGTGTGTATTTTCTTCGATAGGTGGAGATGACATTTCCTTGACTGTATTGGAATGCTGCCATTAGATACCAGAGATGCACCTAAGGCAGCACTTGATCTTCAGCAAAAAAAAGCCCATGTGGTGCATGGAATGGTGTACTGGCTGTTAGACACAGCCAGTTTGGTGTAGTGGTTAAGTGCGCAGACTCTCATCTGGGAGAACTGGGTTTGATTCCCCACTCCTCCACTTGCACCTGGCTGGATGACCTTGGGCAAGGCGTAGCTCTGATAAGAGCTGTTCTTGTGTTGTGTATATAGCCTGACGAAGCCAGGCATGCCCGGGCTTGTCCAAAGACCTAAACCTCAAGCTTCATGCCGAAAAACAATGGACCAGTAGGATCCTAGCCAGGCCCAATGAAAGGGCTAGGTCCCAAGCCGTAAGGCCAATAGGTCTCTCGGTTACTGTAAATAGCCTATCAGGAGTGGTGTGTGTGTTCTGGTGGTGGGCTTCTGAAGGAATATAAGCCGGCCTGCGAGCTGGCCAAGGTGTCATGCTCCTGACAAATAAAAGGTATTCTTAGCTGAAATCACTCTCCGTATGCATACTTTTCATCTTGAAAAAGAGCAGTTTCTGTCAAGAGCTCTCTCAGCCCCACCTACCTCACAGGGTGTCTGTTGTGGGGAGGGGAAGGGAAAGGAGTTTGTAAGCCGCTCTGGGACACCTTTGGGTAGTGAAGGGTGGGGTATAAATCCAATCCAATCTCTTCTCTTCTTCTTCTTATATGGAGTCAGGCCCTTGGTCTACCAAGCTCAGTATTGTCTCCTCTGACTCGCAGGAGCTCTTGGGTCCTGGGCAGAGGTGGAGGGCATCAAAGTTGCCAGGCCTCCTGCCAATTGCCGCCATCACCTGCCACCACTCCAAGTGGTGTCAGGAGAAAAAAGAAAACCTGCCGGTATCCTTTGTGTTGGTAAAGGTAAAGGTAAAGGTTCCCTTGCTCGAAAGCCAGTCGAATCCGACTCTAGGGTTGCGGTGCTCATCTCCGTTTCAAAGCCGAAGAGCCAGCGCTGTCCGAAGACGTTTCCGTGGTCATGTGGCCGGCATGACTAAACACCAAGGCGCACGGAACGCTGTTACCTTCCCACCGAAGTGGTCCCTATTTATCTACTTGCAATTTCTTGCTTTCGAACTGCTAGGTTGGCAGGAGCTGGAACTAGAGACAGGAGCTCACCCTGTCTTGCGGCACCCCGGTCTTGAACCGCTGAACTACTGACCTTCCACAGCCTGCAGTTCAGCGTCTTAACCACTTGAGCCACCGCAACTTCAAATGCAACACGGAAGTGACAATGGGTAGCTCTAGGAATAGCCAGGAACATAATGGCTTTACCATAGAGCTTCCAGAGATTCTTAGAGCTACCCATTGTCACTTCCAGATTGTACCCAACAGTGACATAAGTAATATGTGTTCCCTTGTTCCTGCCCCCAACCCTCTTCCCGGTTGCTAGGTGTTTTTTTTTTGTACATTTTAAGTGGAGAAGCCAGTGAGCAAAACTTTTTTCTTTCTGCGTGCCAAACAGATGTTCTGCTATTGCACCCTTGCCTTTCCCATTTTCACTGGGCTGTCCAAATTTTCTGAGTTGGAGTAGGTTATGACTGGAAACTGGGCCTCCTCTTTGAGGGTATCTTGTCTTAGAGGTGGGGGGGATAAATCAATCTCAAAACAATCCGAAACAAATTGTTGTGCCTGTCCCTAACAAGTTTATAAGGATTTCCTTTGAATATCTGCTTAGGCAAAATCTAGAATTGGCAAAAGAGAGGGATCTTTGGACCACCAGGAAGAGTAAGCCACAGGTCATGAAAACCATGTGGACAAAAGCCATGTGGAATGGGGGCTTCAGTGAGGGCAGGAATCAGCTGAGATTGAGAAGAACAAACTAGTCACAGTCAATACGCCCTCTAAGCTGTGGAGTTTTGTGAGCAAAAAATCTCCTTTGTGAGCTAGTGGCATTAAAGTTGTGAGCAAGCAATTTGGCTACTGCATAAATTAGTTTGCTCTGGAGCCATCCTTCCTGAGCTAAGACAAAAATCTGTGACCTGGAGGCTAAAAAACTGTGAGCTAGCTCACACTAACTCAGCTTAGAGGAAACTCTGGTCACAGCCCCCAATTTTTGATGTTTGATCTAGAAACCATCAAAAATCACCTGAAGGCCACAACTTCAAAACTTCCATGTTGTTCCAAATACTGTCAATCTTTTTTGGAATACTGATGTTGATAATGTAATGATTACCAACAAAAGCTTATTATATATTTGTCACGATTTAATATATAGCCGACCGTTTAGGTCTTTAAGGTGGAAAGTTATCCCATAATTGCTGTTGTATAATCAATATATTCTTTTATGACAGTATTCTGTTCTCAGGTATCTGAAATTCAGAACTTTATTTATGCAGATCACACACCTATCTGGTCTCCTTTTGCTCCAGCAGAAAATATGGGGGCAGAGTTGTTCAAACAATTCTTAAAATTAGCACACACACACATACACACACACACACATACACACACACACATATATATGCAACAATACTTGCAGTAAGATGCCACAACTGGGATGCAATTGTCAAATCCTTATCATGTTTCCAAACCAGTAAAACTGGAAGTAATTATTTACATCATTTACAGTCCACCTTTCTCGCTGAAACTGAAGGCAGTTCACACAGCACAAGACAAATCCCCACGAATATCCCATAATTGCTGTTGTATAATCAATATATTCTTTTATGACACTACTCTGTTCTCAAGTATCTGAAATTCAGAACTTTGTTTATGCAGATCACACACGCCAGCAGAAAATATGGGGTCAGAGTGGTTCAAACAACCCTTAAAATTAGCGCACGCACACACACACACACACACACACACACATGCAACAATACTTGCAGTAAGATGCCACAACTGGGATGCAATTGTCAAATCCTTATCATGTTTCCAAACCAGTAAAACTGGAAGTAATTATTTACATCATTTACAGTCCACCTTTCTCGCTGAAACTGAAGGCAGATCACACAGCACGAGACAAATCCCCAGGAATAATTGATTCACCCATCCGTTATTGTAAAGCACAGGTGCATATTCAAAACAGAACAGAAGCACAGAAATACATTTCAGTTGTTAACAGAAGGGCGGGGGAGCAAGCCACCTTTAAAAATTGTTTGCTCTCAGAATTTACAGTGTCCTTGAATGTGCTTTGGCTGATTTTGGAATTTCTCATCCTTTATTGGTTTTGATCGGAAAACCTCATTTCATTTCTATGTTGCTTCTCTTTTCAGGGAATTCAGGGCATGGGACTGGATTGCACCAGATTTTCTGCAGGTGAGAAAGCAAGGAAGAGTCCCTTTGGGCTACCCAAAGTTATATGCTAGCAGTCATGGGACCTGCACATACAACAGTCGGGTGGGATGGGGGCTGCTGTAATTAGGTAAGACTGAGTGACAAAGCTGGTTGGATCCAACCCACGATTCTTTATTTCAAACCATTTGTCATGTCTCTGCCCTGAATTATTCCTATCAGATATATGCATACTTCAGTGTTGTTTGTACTTTAACAAATCAGTGTTATACATTGCTATTGATTCAGAAGCTTTGCTCTGTAGCCTTCCTCTGGTGAAGGAGGCATGTTCCATTAGTGGAATGCTTCTTGCACTGGGGGAAATTTGAGCAGTAGTGGAACAGAATCTTTGGAGCCTGATCATAATGTATAATTCATTCATTCGTTGCTTGCCTTTCTTGCTGAGACCCAATGTAGATTACATAGTGGAGGACAATGCAGTCAATTAGTATGAGAAATCCAACATGCAATGCAATCCGACTAGGATCATAACATTTAGAGACAATGAAAAAAACTCTCAGACAAAATATCTTATAAGCAATGCAAAAAAGTGAAATTAAAGAAGTAGAAACAATGCAGTAGATAAATAAATACAATAAATAGTGGCATAAGAACATAAGAAGAGCCTTGCTGGATCAGACCAGTGGTACGTCTACTTTAACATCCTGTCTGACACAATGGCCAGCCTGTTACTCTGCAGGGCCAACAACAGGGCAGAGAGGCCAAGGCCTTCCCCTGATGTTGACTTCTGGCACTGCTATTCAGAGGCTTGCTGCTTGTGAATGTGGAGGTTCTCTTTAGTCACCATGGCAAGTAGCCATGGTGATGGACTGATAGACCTATCCTCCATTAAACTGTCTAATCCCCTTTTAAAACCATTTATGCATCTGGCCATCACTATCTCCTCTGACAGTGAATTCCACATTTAAATCACTCAGTGAGTAAAGAAGTACTTCCTTTTGCCTGTCCTGAAGCCACTGTCCACCAACTTCATTGGATGTCCTTGAGTCCTAATATTGGGAGGAGGAGGAAAAGGTCTCATTGTCTAATTTCTCTACCTCAAGCATCATTTTGTAAGGGTCTATCTTGCCCTTCCTTACGTGTCTGTTTTTCTAAACTGAAAAATCTGTTGGGTCACCATTGCCTATATGCTGGTTTACTTTCTCAAAGGACTCCAAAAGGCTGGTGAGGCAGGACTTCCCTTTGCAGAAACCATGCTGATTTCACCTCAGGAGGCTTTCCCCTAATACTTATCGTAGAATGTTAGAGTTGGAAGGGATCTTGCAGGTCATCTAGTCCAACCCCCTGCACTCTGCAGGAGCATAGCCAAAAGATAGCCCTACAACATACCTGAAAGATGGTCGTCTAGCCTCCGCTTGAAAACGTCCAGCGAAGG